TGTGGCGGGCGCCTGTGGTCCCAGCTACTTGGGAGGCTGAGGCAGGAGACTTGCTTGAGCCCAGGAGTTGGAGGTTGCTGTGAGCTGAAATGCCACGGCACTCTACCCAGGAGGACAGCTTGAGGCTCCTGTCTCAAAAAAAAAAGAAAAGAAAACCAGCTGGAGCTGGCCGGCCACAGCCAGACGGCCGCGTGAGTCCCCGCCCAAGGCTCCGGGGCACCCGGGTCTGGCAGCTAGGACGCCCCAGAGCCAAGAAGGGTGGGGCCGGCTGTCTAGGCCGCGCCTGTACCTTTGGAGCCCGCAGGGGTCTGTGCGCAGGAAAGGGACGGTGCTTGCGGGGACTGGCAGGATGGTGTGCCATAGGGTCTCGCTAAGTTTCTCATTAACCAGTGTGTGGTCGTAGAGCACGGGGTCCTCGCTGTCCGGGGTCAGAAGACGCGCCCTCCGCTCTGGGTGGATGGGGGTGTCGGGCTCCAGGGTGCCATCCAGCTGCGTATTTCCCTTCCGGCCTCAGTTTCCCCACCGATAAAGCAGTGTGGGGCGGTCTCGGACGGCTTCTGGGAGCCCTGATCTCCGACGTCGGTGCAGATACCCACAGCCCCTAAACCCAGAGGGCTGGGCGGGACCTGGACTTAGCGACCGCCGCCCCTGGTCCCCGCCCCCGGTCCCTGAGGGGCTGAGGCCCGGAGGCCCCGCCCCCCGCCCACGAGGAAGTGGCTGCGGCGCTTTGCCAAGCACAGAGCCGGTTAGTCGCGTCGACTGCCCAGAGTCCGCGGCCGAAGATCTTGCAGGTAAGGGGGCTGGAGCCACCTGGAAGTGAGAGGCGCGGATGGACGCCCGGAGGTGGGGGCCACGCTGCTATGTGAGGCGCTGCCCGATATTAAGGGAGTCCAGGACAGGGAAGAGAAAGGGCAAGGGGGGGGTGGTCCTTGGGAAGGGAGGAGGTCCTGAGCCGGGAGAACGTCCCGGGGAGAGAGGAGGGCAAGGGTGCCGCTGCGGAGCCAAGCGAGCGGAACGTTGCTCCCGGCACCCGCGCCCTCGGGGCGGCCCTGGTCCGGCCCCCCCGGTGTGTCGGCCTCCCGCCTCTCGGGCCCCACTCCCCGCCCCCCCCAGCGACTCCGGTATCGCTCCGTTACTTTGGGCCGGCGAGGCCCCACGCCCAGTCACTTCCCCTCCATCCTCAAGCCTTCCGGGTTGCAGCAGTCGGGAAATGAGCTGGCGTGCTCGCCCTGCCCACCCCCCACCCCCCGCCTCGGGCTACCGCAGCACGCCCTGGGGCGCCTCGAGGGTCCCGCAAGAGGTGGGCTGGGCGCGGGTCCTGAAGCAGAGCGCGCCCCTCTGAGCTCCGGGTCTCCCTGCCGGGAGCAGTCCCTACTACCCAGCGGCGCGGGAAGGGCAGCCCGGCCGCCCACAGCCGGGCGGGGCCACGGGCAGTGACGGGATCCTTAACCTGAAGCCTCGGGGGTGGCCGAGCGCCCTCCCTCTGCCACCCAGGAGGTGCAGCTCTTGAGGCTAAGCGCACCTCTAAGGTGTCAGAGGCCTGGGTAAGAGTACAAACTTCTTCCTTCACTGTCTCATGACCTTGGCAAGCCACTTAGCACCACTGCCCTCAATTTTCCTTATCTGGAAAATGGAAATCTTTCAAATAGGCTTCAATGTAACAACATAAGACAGGGAGCCAGGCACAGGCAGACGACATGTGTGGTGCCCTTGTTGCTGGCATCATAAGCCCTGTCCACCTTGATCATTGGGTCTGCTTAGGTGAACCTGACCTCTTGTCTGCCAGGATTTGGGGTCAGAGTCCCAAGCTGTGCCATATGGAGCTATGTGACTTTGAGTAAATCATTGCTTTTTTGAGCCTCAGTTTCCTCAGATGCAACCTGAAGTTTAAAAAACAAGCAAAAAACTCCTCAATTTTGCTTCAGGGAGTAAAAGAGAATTTATGGGAAAGTTAGGGGTAAGCACAAGTCCCTGACAGATGTCAGTAACAGTGTGTTTGTACATAATCCATCAACAGGTTGTTTCTAGTAATTAGCCTCTTAACATGTTAATATCACAGTTTACTTTTAACATATTTGTAGTCATCTGGATTTTTCCACCCTGTCACTGTTTTAAAGAGGGTTATTATGAACATGTTTGCTTAAAAAGTCTGGCAATTTTGTTATTACCGGAATGGATGTATGTGACCAAAGAGTGTTATTTATTTTTGAGACAACCTCACTTCATTCCCCAGGCTAGAGTGCCATGGTATTAGCCTAGCTCACAGCAACTTTAAACTCCTGGGTTCAGGCTCGTGTCTGTGACTCAAGTGGCTAAAGCACCAGCCACGTGCACCCAAGGTGGCAGGTTCGAATCCAGCCCCGGCCTGCCAAACAATGACGGCTGCAACCAAAAAATAGCTGGTGGTTGTGGCGGGTGCCTGTGGTCCCAGCTACTCAGGAGGCTGAGGCAGGAGACTCGCTTGAGCCCAGGAGTTGGAGGTTGCTGTGAGCTGTGATGTCACCGCACTCTACCCAGGGGGACAGCTTGAGGCTCCTGTCTCAAAAAAAAAACAAAAAAAACAAAAAAACTCCTGGGTTCAAGCAGTCTTTCTGCCTCAGTGTCTTGATTAGCTGAGACTATAGGCACCTGCTTAATGCCTAGCTTCTTTTTCTGTTTTCAGATGGGGCTTTTGCTCAGGCTGGTCTTGAACTTGTGAGCTCAAGTGATCCTCTTGCGTTGGCCTCCTAGAGTGCTAGGATTACAGGAATGAATTACCTAACCAGGCCCAAAGAGTATTCATTTTTAAGTTCTATTAGGGTTTTTTTGTTTGTTTGTTTTTATTTGTCTTGTTTTGTTTTTGAGACAGTCTCTCTTTCTTGCCATCAGTGGACTGCTGTGGCATCATAGCTCAGAGCAACCTCAAACTTGGGCTCAAGTGACTCTCTTGCCTCAGCTTCCCAAGTAGCTGGGACTACAGGTGTCCACTACAACACCTGCCTATTTTTTAGAAATAGGGTCTTGTACTCCAAGTCCTCAGGCTGGACTTGAACTCTTTTTTTGGTTGTTGTTGTTTTTGAGATAGAGTCTCACTATGTTGCCCTCTGTAGAGTGCTGTGGCATCACAGCTCACAGCATCCTTAAACTCTTGGGCTTAAGCGATTCTCTTGCCATAGCCTCCCAAGTAGCTGGGAATACAGGCTCCCTCCACAACGCCCGGCTATTTTGTTGTTGTTAGTTATTTAGCTGGCCTGGGCCAGATTCAGACCCGCCAGCCTGGGGGTATGTGGCCAGTGCTCTACCCACTGAGCTACAGGCACTGCCCTGGTCTTAAACTCTTAAGCTCAAGCAATCCACCCATCTCATCCCCTAGATTGCTGGCATTACAGATGTGAACCACCATCCCCAGCTAAATTCCTGTTAATGTTATTCTGCTCTATTTGTCTCTACCCAGTTGAATTCAGTGCTCTTCAGAATGGTTGAACCAATTACCAACTAATGACAATTTCTCTACAGCCCTGACAGCACTGGTATTATGTGTTTGGGGGTTTTGTTTGAATTGCTTTCACTGGTGCTTTATGGCACCTTAGGATCATTTTGTGTTTCTTGAGTTGACTTTGCCTGGTTTGTAAGACCAAGCACAGAGGTGGGGAGGAGGGGATTGGGGGAGGCAAAGGCTGCTCCACATGACAGGAAGTTGAGTAAATGCTTTGCACCCAAGCAAAATGGCTCGCTGGCTGGTTCCTCAGAGGAGTGTCTGAGCTGGGTGGGGACTTCCCAGAGTGCCTGTAGAGCCAAGATCCTTAGACCCAGCAGCTCCTGCTTGGTTTAGCCTCAAATGTAGCCAAACCTCTCAGAGAAACCTGGCACAGCCAGGCAAGAAAGGACTTAAAGACTATGCCAGCCCCAGCCCCACCCTTTTCTGGATAAAAATATGAGAGTATTTTTTTTTTTTTTTTTGAGACGGAGCCTCAAGCTATCCCCCTGGGTAGAGTGCCATGGCATCACAGCTCATAGCAACCTCCAACTTCTGGGCTCAAGCGAGTCTCCTGCCTCAGCCTCCCAAGTAGCTGGGACCACAGGTGCCTGCCACAACGCCCAGCCATTTTTTAGTTGCAACCATGATTGTTGTTTGGCGGGCCCGGGCTGGGGATTCGAACCCGCCACCTTAGGTGTATGTGGCTGGCGCCTTAGCCGCTTGAGCCACAGGCACCGAGCCAAAATATGAGAGTTTTGAGTGAGGGCACCCACAACCTGGAGGGATCCAGAATTTAAACCTTGCGATATAAGGAAGGGAGCATTTGAGGCCCCAAACCCTGAAGAGTGTCCTCGCTAGCTGGGCAGGCTGAGGTTTTAGAGGGGAGCCATACTCTCCACTCTGTGAATCCACAGAGAGGACTTTCTAGGTTGGATGTTTCCAAGCTTTTCTGGTTATGAACCTATACTCAAATCTTTATAAATGCATCCATGCGTCAATAAAGTAATATAGCATATTCCTGAAAAACCATCCCTCAAGACCAACATGAAAAAAAGAACGTAATTCATTCCTTTACCCACATTCAGGAAATATGTGTCCAGGGCTGGGCAGGGTGGCTCACGCCTATAATCCTAGCACTCTGGAGGCCGAGGCTAGCGGATCACCTGAGCTCACGAGTTTGAGACCAGCCTGAGCCACAGTGAGACCTTCGCTCGTCTCTAAAAATAGCTGGGTGTTGTCTCAGGCGCCTGTAGTCCCAGCTACTTGGGAGGCTGAAGCAAGAGAATTGCTCTATCCCAAGAGTTTGAGATTGCTGTGATGCAGTGGCACTTTACCGAGGTTGACAAAGTGAAACTCTTGTATCAAAAAAGAAAAAAAGAAATATGTGTCCAGTGTTTACCATGTGCCAAACACCCTAATCAGTGCCCGGGATAAATAAGTGAGCAAAACAAATACCGGTGCCCTCATGGAGCATCTCTTCCAGTGTACAAAAAGAATAAATATTTCTACACCAGAAAATACACTCCTCCTTGGAGACCCAAACCTCAGTCTGCCTGCAGGGCATTCTGAAGGAAACTGTAGCCTCTGGCTCCTCCCTCCCAACCCCACCCAGCCCCAGAGCCTTATATATAGGGAGCCACGTAGCTGGTAAGAGACTTGGAGCTAGCCTTGGGGAGTCTTTGGAGAGGGGCTTGGCTCACACACCCCTGTGCCTATCAGCAACTCGTCCCAGTGCTATCTCCAGGGCCCCTCTTGTTGCTCAGTAGTCAAATAGGCATATGGTGCTAGTTCACAGTGCCACAGTGATGAGTGGGTGGGGTGTTCCAATTGCCTGCTTGCCTGCCTGTGCCTCCACTAGGAGCCACTGCTGAGGCCTTATATTGTCCTCCACACACAGAGTTGAAGAGGCCCCAGTTGCATTTTCCTTGTGATGATTTTCCAGCAGAGTGGTTGGCAGGCAGCAGTGGGCATTTCCCACCCCACCCGTTTGGTAGGTTAGTGGTTTTCCTGGGAATGATTAAGTCAAAGTTCCCAGTCATAATCCCTCAGCCAGGAGGCTGGAACCCTAAGGCCACATTGGCAAGAGAAACTGCTCCCTGCTCTGGGCTCCCACTTCCTCATCTGTAAGACATGGGGTTGGGGAGTTGTTGCTGAGGCCCTACTGGTTGCAATTGCTTTGCAGAAGTTATAAAAAGGAGGAAGTAAGTCTTCCTTGCTTCCAGACCATTTGTCCCCTTCCTTCACCCATTTAGGTTGTTGGTTCAGTGGACTAGAAAGTATTTCTGTTTGAATTCATGCTAAAGTATGATTGGCTGATAGGTAAGGTTTGGACATCCCTCCCATGCCTCTGACACTCAGCCTATGGCCATCTCTACCAGCCTGTCCCCTCCCACTTGAGAACCTTTGGGTCCCAGAAACTGGTCAGTGCTCCTCAAGTCCTCTTGGTTGCATTATCCAGTGGTACATGTGGGGGTTGCTGTCCTCAGCAGAGCCAGCTGCTCCTTCACAGGCAGAGCACACAGTAGGCCTGTGACAGGTGATGCTGGGTAGTTGGGTTCTGTGTATCAGCTCAGGGCCTCTAGGCTCCTGGGGGAGTCTGTTGGCTGCAGCTCCAGGGCTCTTTCCCTCTGGGCCATCTGGGTTTTATAAAAAGAAGAGTAGTTGGCCTTAGGTGGAATCTCATCCTGAGGCCAGTCAGAGCCTGGCTGGGAGTTGGAAATGGGTTTCTGGCCTTAGCCCTGCCCCTATCCCACTAGTGACCTTGCACTATGGAGGAGAACAGATGAGCATAGTGTATTAGTCAGATAGGCCTCGAACTTCCTTCTGATGAGTACTGGCATCCGGTGTGGGCAGTCTGGGGGCTCCGGAAGCACTTGAGGAAATCTCCAGCAGGGCTCCTGCCCTGGCTAAGGGCCCCTGAAGTGGTGCTTCTGGGGCTTTAGATAAAGAGGCCTTATAAGGGAAGAATGGCTGGGAGCAGCCTTGTTGGGTGCTCTCGCTCTGAGTATGGCTGCATTTGCATGCAAAATGTGTGTGTACAAGGTGAGTCTGGCTGCCTGGGTCCACTTAGAAGCAAGTATTGCACTTTATAAGCAAGACTCACTGGGGCCTTGTTCTAAGCCTGGGGGAAACACATGAAGTCTCTGTTCTATGCTTATGTGATCCTTTTTTTTTTTTGAGACAGAGCTTCAAGCTATCCCCCTGGGTAGATTGCTATGGCATCACAGCTCACAGCAACCTCCAACTCCTGGGCTCAAGCAAGTCTCCTGCCTCAGCCTCCCAAGTAGCTGGGACCACAGGCGCCT